CCCACACCTCCCTCACCACAATTCCTGGTGGGTCATTCCTTCAATTTCTTAAAAGCCGACACCTCGGCGGGGATGCTCCATTCGAGAGCGAGCGAGCGAGCAAGTGAGAGTGGAAGGGCGAGGCGACGCGGGAAAGCGTTTGGCATTTACAAATGCTGTGTGTGCAGTGAAATATGGGGGCCATATTTCAACATGCGCAAGTGCAGGCATGCCTGCTCCCCCGAACCCCTTCCCCCCCTTACACACACACACACACACACACACACACACACACACACACACACACACACACACACACACACACACACACACACACACACACACAAAGGTGTGTGATGCATCATTCTGCAGACGTCGGGTGTGTTTGTGCAGGTGTGTGTGAGGCTCGTACACCTTTAACACCAGCTTGACAGGACATAATTGCCTCCAAAGCCCGTGACGGCGTTTTGTTTTGCACATATACAAGATGCTCATGTGCTTGGGATTCAATGGAACGCGACACGGGAGACTTGTTAATGAGGCAAAAAATATATGTATATACTGTCTATATTCCCATATCAGGGGTCAAAACAATTCTCATCCACATTAAAATTCACTCCCAGGCTGTTACATACGCGGCAAAGCAACAGGTGGGGCGATAAGACCGACTGGAAGGTGAGCCAATCGAAAGAGTGAAGAAAGTTATTCATGGAAAAAAAAAAGTTTGAGGCGTCTGCGAAGTCACCCAAACTGCCTCAAACCTAAATGGCTCACTGTTGAATTTCAGTCATGTGACTTTGAGACTTTTTCGTGCGTCCACCGAGTTTCGTAAGGATCTGTCCAATTGATGTTTTGCTAACAACCAGAAAGAAGAAAGCCATTGAGTGCTGAGAAAAAAAAAAAGCCGATGATGTCAATTCAATTACAGCTTTAAAGCACAGAAAAACACACACGAGGTCTTGCGTGCCGTCGACTTGGCGAAGTACTTTGAGCGTGGCACTTGTGTGATATTTATTCGATTGCACTTTTATTTCTCCAGGGAAGGCAATTGAGAACAGATCCCTTTTCGCCAAGTCGCTCTGGCTGCACGGAGCAAAGTAAAACAAGGCAATGCCAAGTCGCTCTGGCTGCACGCTCTGGCTGCACGGAGCAAAGTAAAACAAGGCAAGATAAAAACGAGTACAAATAAAGATACTATATATACTCTACCATTGCTATATGCACTACAATAAACTATACAATGTGAGGTAATGTAAATAAAAAGACCGTATCGACAAAACTCACAATAATAACAATTATCTTCATCATAAAAACTAATTACTGACGGTACAATGCAATTCCATTTCAATGTGTGTAATTCAAAAAATGTTTTTGGGAGCAGGGGTCCGCCAAGGTGCCACATTGTACACGAGCTTTTCACACGTCTCCTTGACGGAGCGAGGTTTCCTTTGTACAAACCGAAAGAGATGAAAGAGATTTTGTTTTTTGTTTTTATTCGAGTGCATTTAAGGTTCCGCGTCGCTGTTTCGCTCTCCTGACAACAAACAAACAAACAAAATGAACACGCGCTTGTTTCCACAATCCCGCTGGGTGATGAAAAACAAGGTTTTGTGCTCTTTTTATTTTTCCACAGCTAGTTTGCATATCTTGAATGGGTACTTCAAATGAAATAACGGAGCTAGCGTGGCAAATGTGATGTCACGCGCAGGTACGCGGCACATTATTATCCGTCTCAAACTGACCCATTTTCATGTTAAATCAATAAAAACTGTTTGAAATAGTTTCTGGGCCATTGATAGGACATGTAAATATAGTTTGAATTTTAGCATAATACTGATTAAAAAAAAAAAAAGAGTTCAGAAAATTCGTCGTAGCATACGTTGGTCAACAAATTTTTACTCAATGTTTTAATCATAAAATTCAACTTTTTCCACATTTTTTTTCTCAGTCATATCAGCTTTTCATACTAATTCATAGTAATAATAATGGCTGTCCGTAATGAGAAAATATTGCTATTTAAGCCTGAGCATGTTACATTTCCATTCAATTTTGATCAGTTGATCGTTAATTGCCATGGTAAGTGCCAAATTTCCCCTTCTTATCCTCCCATAAAAAACTTTGTGTCAATTTTGTAACCCTTTAGAAGGTAGAAAAGAATTTGCATTTCGTTTTTCCTTGAGTTTCAGGCGTGTCAAATTGGCTCAGGAACATTAATATGGCCGTTCCCAAGAAACCGTGTCCGTCGTAGGAGAGTTAAGCGGCGATCATCTGTGAATGAACTCATGCTGCACTCCAAGTCGACGCTCAGCATGGGAAGCCTCGTCCCCGCGGAGCCCTCGTCTTGTTTTCCATGTTTGTACGAGGACTGGGGGGGGCGGAGGCGTTGGGCCGTAGGGAAAGCGTAAGTTGAAAATGGATTCCGGCAACGGCGGTGGCAGCGCCTCCTAGCGGGCCCCGCCCACCGCGGGCCTCCCAGGCCTCATTGTAATTTCATTAGGTGACAATGAACGCCGCATCGCATCAACACATCAAACCCCCCAGGCCGCCGCTACCCTGAAGAGTTACATTTGAGGAAACACGAAAACCCACTCACTCGCTTTTCGCACATTCCCACACTCGTATTCCCGCGCATCCCACCCCTACCGAGGCGCTCTCCCAGCGGCGGTTCCCAACTCCTTCTGGGGCTTTCCCTGCCTTCCCCTTTTAGAAGACACGGATGAGAAAGAGGAGACGATCGGATGGGCTTTGATATATGGAAACAGCTTTGATGGTCTCGGGCTTCTTCCCGCTATAAATAGCTAGGTGCAGCTTTTGAGGAGGGTGGGGG